TTTTCCCCCACCTCCCCTGTTTTCCGTTTCCGGTATCGCCTTCGAAGCATCTTCACATCACCAGCGTTTAGCGTCCGCCCATGTGCCATCGGTATGTATTCCCCTCCCACTTTTGAAAACGGACATCAATGAATACGCTTCCTTTTCCTGCGCCTCCGTCAACCGCCTGTTTTGCGGATACAGCCATGGATTGCCAACATGGAAAGCGTGACAATGACACAAATGTGCTTCCCTTCGTTCGTAAAACGCGCCCTTCAACTTGAACGAAAAATGCGCCTTGCAATCCATCATCCTGTAAATAAATAGCATTTGTTATACCATGAGAATATCAACTTACCGTTTCCCACGAACACTGCCACGAACAGAATGATGAAATCCACCCGCCAATGGAGCAGGAAACGGTTACAACATGCGCAACGGCCGCACTATGAAACCTTACTCAGTGCACCGAGCAACACGTCACAACGATAGAGCAGGCACGCCCCGGTGGATCCGGTGCATTATAAAGTTGCTATGCATGCCCGATTAGACCACAGGTATAGTAGGTAAGTCGCATAGTTGCCTGACAGAATATCGACGGGCAATGAGACTCACCATTATTGTCGGGTTGTGTACCCCGGCGCACCAAGTGTGGGAAAACCCTCGTTGAAGCATTTGAGACCTTATGGTATGCTTGGGCGCGTACTTTCTTTCCAGTGCCCCCGTCACTGGTTTCGCTAGATTTGTATAGCTGTCGCTTGTGCTCATATGGTATATACACGTGAGTGCTATGTTTTGTGCGTTTGTTCAAGTGACACAGCTACTAATCAATGTGACTGCGGTGGCACACAGTGTTAATTTCGCTGGTGCAATTTGTACCCGGGCCCTTAAGCGAACCAAAAAACGTGTGTATTATATAGAGTACCCTTGGTCCTCCGAACTGGATAACACCTACGGGCTTGTTGAGTTATGGAGTTTAGGCTATATAGGGATGGCCAACTATGCATATTAGAGGGTTGTGGAACCTCCGGCATAGGTTGGTGGCTGACTCTCGCCAACTAGTGGGATTTACCAAACTTCTATCCTGTCTCGACCATTGCCGAAGCTACGCGGGCTATGACTGTGGAATTGATAGCGGTGTATCACCCACGGCCTAGTGGGATTGATGAGTGCGCGGGCACCTAGGGCGCCTATGCCACTCGTACCTGTGTGGCGCCTATATGTGTACGGCCGTGGCATCAGTTACCTACACCTATGATATGCCTACCGTAGGTTTATGTCTCTCTATGCAGGATGCCTACGGTCCTCGGACTAAGGTACCCTGCAGTAAGCCGCGCCACACTCCCAAAGCGGCTGTGGCAACACGGAATTGTTAATTGGAGCTTATGGCGAAACAATTGACTTGTGTATTATAAGGGGTGGGTACCACTCCTTCCTGTCCTCTATGTCCTATGTATAGGTAAAACACTCCCGCCAGTTTTGGCGTGAGTGCGCATATCCTGCGCGCTATACATTGGACACCGGGCCTGTGGTATACGGCCGTGTCCAGGTACCGAGGTACCTGAGCATGTGGTATATCCAGGCTCGGGGGACTGGCTATTAGAAGGGGTGTGTGGGTGTTCACACACTATGAAAAGTTTCTTTAGTCCCAGGCGCGCCGCGGGGCCGGGCGCTTTCGCAACGCAACGTCTAGTTTCGGCATAAGCCCCAAATTAATAATCTGCTTTGTCAACACCCTGTGTGATTACCGACTTACGCTTTTCGCAACCCCAAACGGCCGAGTCCTGTTTAGGCAACAGAATGCGTTTCCTCCGACCAGTCCCATCCACAAGTGATGAATGGGAGCCAAGAACCCAAATCATCACCATAATGCGCCTCAACCGTGGTTCGGTGGTCCACACCCGCATAGGGTACCAACACAAGGACATGCGGATACAAGCCCGCATAAGCATACGCCACAAGAGGACTAGCAGGTGAAGACCTGCAGCACGCCATCTCCAACACTACCCATTGCACATAAACGAATGAATGGGGCTCAAGCACCCAAATCATTCTAATACACTCGACGATCGTGCGGTTCAACCGCAGGTCAATGCTCCCCATGCGCACTACACACTGGCATACCTCAACCCACCGAGGCAGGGAGGCTTACCAGCAGTTGCACGCATGCAGAAACAGACCCGGCACAAACACGCGCCACAAGCAGACCAAGCGGTCGAGACCTGCCTGATTCACTCATAGCACGCGCATGTGGGTTGGCACGCATACTGTCTAACACGATTCGACAAAAAGAAAATGAATGAGAGTCTAGCTCTCAAATCATTACGTCATGCAGGGATAGGACTCAATGTCTCGCAGTGTGATAACTGCTCGAACACTTACGTCTCCCCGACAAAACATTAAGTCGTCTATAAACGATTTATTGCCTTCACGCTCATTCCACATTTGGATATCGTGTCGACCTCCATACCCCGAGTTCCGGAGCACAGTTTTGGTCATATCGCTCTGGCATTACACCAGATTTACCAGCCATGGCCGAGCACATAGCTCAGTCCAAGTGCTAGCAGGAATACGTAAGCTTGCGTTGCCACGTGATAGGCACAGAGTGTACCGTTGCAACTCTGGACGGGATTCAGACTTAGAGGCGTTCAGTCCTAATCCCTCAGATGGTAGCTTCGCACCATTGGCCTTTCGACCAGGCACATATACCAAATTAATGGTGGATGTTTGTGAGAAGTGTAAAGTTCGTAGAAAGTAGAAGTCACGATTAAAATTCACGCACAATAATATGCCTCGACGGGGGGTCGAACCCCGGTCCACGAATTTCCGGTTCGCTGCTCTACCGCCTGAGCTACTGAGGGCTGACGTGTAGGTGCGCAAATTTTAATACATGTCTTCTGCTTGGTGCGCGACGTATTGCCAATAAGCTCACAGTACCTGTCCTGATGTTGCAGATTGGTTCACTCACCCCTCACTTCCCAATAGACCGAAGTTCCTGTCCTTCAGACGTCCAATGGGCGATGGTAGATTAATGGTGGAGGTTTGTGAGAAGTGTAAAGTTCGTAGAAAGTAGAAGTCACGATTAAAATGTCTGAACCTGCGGCTCTTCTTGTACTAAACAGGATTACTATGGCAACGGCCAGTTTGTACTTCACTGTTTCATTGTAATCATTAGTAGGGTAAAACCAACCTGTCTCACGGCGGTCTAAACCCAGCTCACGTTCCCTATTAGTGGGTGAACAATCCAACACTTGGTGAATTCTACGTCGGAACGTAGTCTAGATCAACTAACCTTTCATCGGGCAGCACTTCAACGCCTACATCGTGAGATTCCGCAAGGAAACACTCCATAATAGAATCCACAACGGAATTGAACAAAAATGGGGAAATCGGACAACCCGGGCGAAGGCCACTTGTGGTCGGAAAGCGACGGTCTAAATCCAGCTCGCGTTCCCTATTAGTGGGTGAACAATCCAACGCTTGGTGAATTCTGCGTCACAACGCTAGGGAGAGCCGACATTGAAGGATCAAAAAGCGACGTCGCTATAAACGCTTGGCCGCCACTAGCAGTTATCCCTGTGGTAACTTTTCTGACACATCTTGCTTCAAACTCCGAATATCAAATACAAAAGGATCGATAGACCACGCTTTCACGGTCTGTATTCGTACTTAAAATCAAAATCAAGTAAGCTTTTGCCAGGTGTCCGTCCAGCCGGATGAGCTCACCTTGTGACACCTGCGTTACCATTTGACAGATGTACTGCCCCAGTCAAACTACCCGCCTGATATTGTCTTCAGAACAGGTCGCACATCACCATCAGACTGAAACACCAAGGCGATAGCCATAGCTCATCTGACATGACCAAGACACCAACCACCGCAACGTAAGTCACGGGCGTCAGCATGTGCTTAGCACCAAAATTCATTCTCCGTTTTATTGAATAAGCAAAGAAGCAATGACGGTGGTGGTAGTTCATGGACGCTCAGCCCCGAAAAACCTCGCTCCCACTTATTCTACACCCGTCATGTCTCCTCACAAGCTCAACAGGGTCTTCTTTCTCCGCTAATTCTGCCAAGCCCGTTCCCTTGGCTGTGGTTTCGCTAGATAGTAGATAGGGACAGTGGGAATCACGATAATCCATTCATGCGCGTCACTAATTGGATGACGAGGCATTTGACTGCCTTTATCATATATTTTCGGAGTGCGGTTTAACACATCTTGCCCAGTTAATATGAAAAATACTGGGCCGAGTAAACAAAAGCGGGGTACAAGATAAGCAAAAATGGGTCATGTAGTTTTTGCACTGAAGTGAAAGTTCAAGTTCCATGTGTTTGTAAGTAGGTTCATGGGCAAGGAGAGAACACCAGTAATAATCCATCCAAACAAGATCCATCTTCGTTTGTCATCCCGAATCTCCGAGAGCTTTCGCGAAACGCCAATTGCTTTCATACCGTTGCTCATCAGCTTCGACCTCCCTTAGGTCTGGGCCTTCCGCTTCATTGTATCCCTCCTCGGCCCTTTTATCCTCCACCACAGTCTTCATTAGGCGGACTGGAACATTAGTACTCCGGCTACCAACCTTGCACGCCTCCGACTCTAGTAGTCCCCGCACGAACGAGGACGGCTAAGAACACAAACGACCGAACTTGGCTCTCTGAGCAAAAGGAACAAAGATGCTCCATAACAGCAAGCCGAAACCGCCCAGGCCACGAATCGTGTAAAAGAAAGGGAGCGACACATCTTTGGAGTAACGCATCCACTCCCGCACTTTGGCTCGCACTATCTTATCCATTTGCCGCATGGTATTCCGATGAGCGTTCCCCAGAACGAACTCATGAAGCATTTTGGGAAAGATGAAGTCCCGCACCATATCCAGACGCTGTTGCGGTTTCAATGGGGCACGAGAGATCTCGTTGAGCCACCCAGCAAGAACAGCCGTGCTTTTTACCTGGCATCTCCCCTTCCAGTTGAAACGTAGACCAATGTAACGATTCTCATCCGTCACCGCAACCGGGCTGACCTCACCCCCTGCAGGGGATAAGCTTGGGGCACCAGGACAACGCACTTCTGTTTGCCGAGCTTTCGGACCTTAATGGCCCGACACTTCGAGGCGTTCAACGACATACCTGCCGCCGAAAGTGACTGCTGCAAAGCCACCAGCTTCACAGACAACGCCTCTTGGGAAGGAACGAACAACACAAGGTCATCCGCGTATGCCAAAGCACCAATCTCATCGCCACACAGCCGCACCCCCCGATTTGGCAGGGTAGCAGCAACCTCCTCATCCATAATCATGATGAAAAAGAGAGGAGACAGAGGATCCCTTTGCCCCACACCTCTGCGACATTCCAAAACTTCATTGCCAAGCAGCAACATTGAAGAGGTGTATAACGCACGCAAATAACGCTGAAGCTCTGGTGGGGCTCCATGTGCAGCTGCGGCTCGTATAATTGTGTCGCATGACACGGTGTCCAACGCTTTGGCATCGTCCAAGAACGCCACCGCCGCATTCAGGCAGTCGGACTGAATCCTTCTCAAAACGCACTGCAAGACATATGAGGCCTCAAGACACCCATCCCGCTTTTGAAACGCGACCTGTAGAGAAGACAGAGTCAATCGCGACCTCCATCTCTTTGCCAAAACTTTATGAAACACCCGCAGCAGAATCAAAGAAACCGCAATCGGGCAATAATCTGACGGCGTGCTGGCGTCCGACCCCTTGGGCACCAACATCAGTCGTGCTGTCGCAAGAGATGCAGGAGGGCACTCAAGAACCATCATAAGATTGAACAACTGTGCGAGCACCGTCAATTCTAAGGGTTCACAATCCGCCACCGACACCTTATCTGGTCCTGGGGCCGTACCTCCGGCAGTCCGCAGGGCTTCACCGATATCTGCCGCAGAAATTGGCTCAATCAGACCATAATCCTCTTTGGCAACCGGTCTCACATCCACCACACTTTGTACACCAAACACTGATCTCTAATACTCAACCATCGCCTGATCGAGCCCCACGCGTTGTGATTTATATGCGCTCAGCCAACTACCAACCAGGATAGCCTGGGCAGCATCTTGACATTTCGTTATCCAGAGTTTCTGGGTTGCTGCATAGTTGGCCTTCCGGATCGCCCGCCTGACACCAGCAGTACAGGTCCTCCGTTGCCTCGGGGGATGCCATTCAAGCGGAAAAAGTGCTCAGTGACCTCGCACAGACGCGCCACGCCTGCACGTTTATTGAGCGTACCATGTTGCAACTGCTCAGCAAGCGGAAGCAGCTGACCAGCCAGGTCATCCCCGTGCTGAGAGCGCTTCAATTCCGTTATGATATGGGCTAGTATTTCGACAGACCAATTGGCAACCTTCTGATCAGCCTTAAGAGAGGCACCCTCCTCCCCCATCGGCGATTTGATCATAACCACATTAGGAGATGCACCCTCCTCCCCCTTTGGCGGTTGGATCGCTTCAATAGCCACCTCAGGAGAGGCAACCTCCTCCCCGTCCGGCGGAATAAGATCAACCAACTCACCGAACACCCCGTCTGGGTCCGACTCACACCAAAGATCCTCCAGGAATGAACGGTACTGCTCTTCATAGGAGAACTGCATAAGGTTTGGCTCAAGGGCCACTTTGTTCTGATCTGCATCTCGGTTAGTGGTCGTCCCATCGGACACTAAGTCACTTCCAGTCAACTCCGCCCCAACCTCAGGAAGATCTATCGGAGGAACACGGACCACCACAGGTGAGTCCTAAAGCAAAAACTCCGAACTAGGCCTCCGCCTCGGCCAGCGCATCTTCATCAACTGTTTCTTGATGCCGTCAACACTCCGTCCAGGAAACTGAGCAGAGAGTCGACGATAGACTTTCACTTTGTTTGCGCACTCCGGAAGAAACTGGGTTGCTAACGCAAATAACCGTGAGGCTTCTCCCTCAGACCAATCTCTTCGTCTTGGCACCAGATGCAACCTCTCCTCATTAAGCTCCACGAGATATCTGTGTCTTTTATGCTGGCCAAGCCCACGGTTGGAACCAAAGGCTGCACCACAAAAGCAGACATACCCGTCCTGGACATCAACGGCATCATCCGAAATGCTATGACCACCACACTCTTGATCTTCCATTACCATTTCGATATCCAAGTCGAGTTCCCGGTCCACACCCAATCGCTCACCCCTTCCGGACGCCACCGGAACCAAAGAGGGGACAGCAACGGTACGATCGCCGCGCTTTGGAACTAAGATAGAGATTCGATTTGAAATTGACTTCGTTTGAGGATTAGTAATCACGATTTGACCCAAGCATGGTGGTTAGCACTAGTGAGTTGTCCTGGATCTTAGCTCAGAGGCAGGCAAACCCATTTCCTACCCCGGCGGTCCGCACGTGGAGGCGCCCAGGACACGTAACCATTACCCCCCACACCATCCCGCCAAGGTAGTGCCCCAAACGAAACACTCAATTAGCCTAACAGCCGGAACCGAAGGCAAAGCAATAGGCACAAGGAACAGAGCACGTTAGAGCCATAGTTCCTCCCACAGTTTACCCGCGCTTGAATAATTTCCTTCACTTTGACATTCAGGGCACTGGACAGAAATCACATTGCGTCATAACCGATCAGTGGACATCGCAATGCTTTGTTTTAATTAGACAGTCGGATTCCTCAGGTCCGTGCCAGTATGGAGTTAGCCGTTTAACGCCGAACGTAGGAAGCAAGGCCGCGTCACCCACACGGTTTCCCGCACACGCTGCTAATAAGGCAACACGCTAGCTGAAGTCGCCCACGATCCGGCTGGTCAGAGTCCAGTGATTCCGTAAGTCCCGGCTAGTAGAAGCAACCAGGACAAACACAAAAACCAGCCCCCAATTTGACCGAAACGTTTCTGACTCCAGCCCATTTGGTTCGGCCCTCAGAGCCAATCCTTTTCCCGAAGTTACGGATCCAATTTGCCGACTTCCCTTACCTACATTGTTCAATTGCCAGAGGCTGTTCACCTTAGAGACCTGACGCGGATATGGGTACGGCCTGCCACGAAAATTATAATGCCTCGCTCGGATTTTCAAGGGCCGACAACAGCGTTCCGGACACCACAAGAGGGGTGCCGTTTTACGGAGCCTAGTCCCCTATCTCCGGACAACCCGATTCCAGAATATGATGCACTCCTAATAAAGAGAAGAGAACTCTTTCCGACGTCTCCGAGGTCGTTTGCGTCACCGCGCTCGATGCGAACCAACACAAGGCCAGAACACATCAATCTCCGTGGGCAGGGTCGGGAATATTAACCCGATTCCCTTTCGCTACAGGGGGCTGCTTGTAACAGTACAATCGCAGCAATCCTGAACATGTCATGCACCCCGTCTCTGTACCGAGTTACCGGATCACTTAGGACAGCCTGACCAATGGCCAACTGCTGTTCCCATGGAACCCTTCTCCACATCGGCCTTCAAGGTTCTCACTTGAATATTTGCTACTACCACCAAGATCTGCACCCGTGGCGGCTCCACTCAGACTCACGCCCGGAGCTTCCCGCTCACCACGGTGACCCTCCTACTCGTCACCACCATTCCTTGCCTGAGTCTTGGGTATCAACCCACGCCACACGCCATCGACTCAGCTTGCAGTGACGGTACGGTATAGGTTCAACGCTCCAGCGCCATCCATTTCAGGGCTGGTTGATTCGGCAGGTGAGTTGGTACACACTCCTTAGCGGATTCCGACTTCCATGGCCACCGTCCTGCTGTCTGGACCAACCAACACCTTTCGTGGTATCTCTTGGGCGTTGCATTAGGCACCTGAACGGCACGTTTGGTTCATCCCACAGTGTCAGTCTGATAACCAAAAATGGCCCACTTGGCACTCACATTCAACGCATAACTCCACTCAAGCGAGTTAAGCTTCTTTTAAATGGGTGAGAAGCTTAACTCGCTTGAGTGGAGTTATGCGTTGAATGTGAGTGCCAAGTGGGCCATTTTTGGTAAGCAGAACTGGCGCTGTGGGATGAACCAAACGTGCGGTTAAGGTGCCTAATGCAACGCTCATGAGATACCACGAAAGGTGTTGGTTGGTCCAGACAGCAGGACGGTGGCCATGGAAGTCGGAATCCGCTAAGGAGTGTGTAACAACTCACCTGCCGAATCAACCAGCCCTGAAATGGATGGTGCTGGAGCGTTGAACCTATACCGTACCGTCACTGCAAGCTGAGTCGATGGCGTGTGGCGTGGGTTGTTACCCAAGACTCAGGCAAGGAATGGTGGTGACGAGTAGGAGGGTCACCGTGGTGAGCGGGAAGCTCCGGGTGTGAGTCTGAGTGGAGCCGCCACGGGTGCAGATCTTGGTGGTAGTAGCAAATATTCAAGTGAGAACCTTGAAGGCCGATGTGGAGAAGGGTTCCATGGGAACAGCAGTTGGCCATGGGTCACGCGGTCCTAAGTAATCCGGCAACTCGGTTCAGAGACGGGGTGCATGACATGTTCAGGATTGCTGCGATTGTACTGTTACAAGCAGCCCCCTGTAGCGAAAGAGAATCGGGTTAATATTCCCGACCCTGCCCACGGAGATTGATGTGTTCTGGCCTTGTGTTGGTTCGCATCGAGCGCGGTGACGCAAACGACCTCGGAGACGTCGGGAAGAGTTCTCTTCTCTTTATTAGGAGTGCATCATATTCTGGAATCGGGTTGTCCGGAGATAGGGGACTAGGCTCCGTAAAACGGCACCCCTCTTGTGGTGTCCGGAACGCTGTTGTCGGCCCTTGAAAATCCGAGCGAGGCATTATAATTTTCGTGGCAGGCCGTACCCATATCCGCGTCAGGTCTCTAAGGTGAACAGCCTCTGGCAATTGAACAATGTAGGTAAGGGAAGTCGGCAAATTGGATCCGTAACTTCGGGAAAAGGATTGGCTCTGAGGGCCGAACCAAATGGGCTGGAGTCAGAAACGTTTCGGTCAAATTGGGGGCTGGTTTTTGTGTTTGTCCTGGTTGCTTCTACTAGCCGGGACTTACGGAATCACTGGACTCTGACCAGCCGGATCGTGGGCGACTTCAGCTAACGTGTTGCCTTATTAGCAACGTGTGCGGGAAACCGTGTGGGTGACGCGGCCTTGCTTCCTACGTTCGGCGTTAAACGGCTAACTCCATACTGGCACGGACCTGAGGAATCCGACTGTCTAATTAAAACAAAGCATTGCGATGTCCACTGATCGGTTATGACGCAATGTGATTTCTGTCCAGTGCCCTGAATGTCAAAGTGAAGGAAATTATTCAAGCGCGGGTAAACTGTGGGAGGAACTATGGCTCTAACGTGCTCTGTTCCTTGTGCCTATTGCTTTGCCTTCGGTTCCGGCTGTTAGGCTAATTGAGTGTTTCGTTTGGGGCACTACCTTGGCGGGATGGTGTGGGGGGTAATGGTTACGTGTCCTGGGCGCCTCCACGTGCGGACCGCCGGGGTAGGAGATGGGTTTGCCTGTCTCTGAGCTAAGATCCAGGACAACCCATGCTTGGGTCAAATCGCGATTACTAAACCTCAAACGAAGTCAATTTCAAACCAAATCTCTATCTTAGTTCCAAAACGCGGCGATCGTACCGTTGCTGTCCCCTCTTTGGTTCCGGTGGCGTCCGGAAGGGGTGAGCGATTGGGTGTGGACCGGGAACTCGACTTGGATATCGAAATGTTAATGGAAGATCAAGAGTGTGGTGGTCATAGCATTTCGGATGATGCCGTTGATGTCCAGGACGGGTATGTCTGCTTTTGTGGTGCAGCCTTTGGTTCCAACCGTGGGCTTGGCCAGCATAAAAGACACAGATATCCCGTGGAGCTTAATGAGGAGAGGTTGCATCTGGTGCCAAGACGAAGAGATTGGTCTGAGGGAGAAGCCTCACGGTTATTTGCGTTAGCAACCCAGTTTCTTCCGGAGTGCGCAAACAAAGTGAAAGTCTATCGTCGACTCTCTGCTCAGTTTCCTGGACGGAGTGTTGACGGCATCAAGAAACAGTTGATGAAGATGCGCTGGCCGAGGCGGAGGCCTAGTTCGGAGTTTTTGATTTAGGACTCACCGAGGGTGGTCCGTGTTCCTCCGATAGATCTTCCTGAGGTTGGGGCGGAGTTGACTGGGAGTGACTTAGTGTCCGATGGGACGACCACTAACCGAGATGCAGATCAGAACAAAGTGGCCCTTGAGCCAAACCTTATGCAGTTCTCCTATGAAGAGCAGTACCGTTCATTCCTGGAGGATCTTTGGTGTGAGTCGGACCCAGACGGGGTGTTCGGTGAGTTGGTTGATCTTATTCCGCCGGACGGGGAGGAGGTTGCCTCTCCTGAGGTGGCTATTGAAGCGATCCAACCGCCAAAGGGGGAGGAGGGTGCATCTCCTAATGTGGTTATGATCAAATCGCCGATGGGGGAGGAGGGTGCCTCTCTTAAGGCTGATCAGAAGGTTGCCAATTGGTCTGTCGAAATACTAGCCCATATCATAACGGAATTGAAGCGCTCTCAGCACGGGGATGACCTGGCTGGTCAGCTGCTTCCGCTTGCTGAGCAGTTGCAACATGGTACGCTCAATAAACGTGCAGGCGTGGCGCGTCTGTGCGAGGTCACTGAGCACTTTTTCCGCTTGAATGGCATCCCCCGAGGCAACGGAGGACCTGTACTGCTGGTGTCAGGCGGGCGATCCGGAAGGCCAACTATGCAGCAATCCAGAAACTCTGGATAACGAAATGTCAAGATGCTGCCCAGGCTATCCTGGTTGGTAGTTGGCTGAGCGCATATAAATCACAACGCGTGGGGCTCGATCAGGCGATGGTTGAGTATTAGAGATCAGTGTTTGGTGTACAAAGTGTGGTGGATGTGAGACCGGTTGCCAAAGAGGATTATGGTCTGATTGAGCCAATTTCTGCGGCAGATATCGGTGAAGCCCTGCGGACTGCCGGAGGTACGGCCCCAGGACCAGATAAGGTGTCGGTGGCGGATTGTGAACCCTTAGAATTGACGGTGCTCGCACAGTTGTTCAATCTTATGATGGTTCTTGAGTGCCCACCTGCATCTCTTGCGACAGCACGACTGACGTTGGTGCCCAAGGGATCGGACCCCAGCACGCCGTCAGATTATTGCCCGATTGCGGTTTCTTTGCTTCTGCTGCGGGTGTTTCATAAAGTGTTGGCAAAAAGATGGAGGTCGCGATTGACTCTGTCTTCTCTACAGGTCGCGTTTCAACAGCGGGATGGGTGTCTTAAGGCCTCATATGTCTTGCAGTGTGTTTTGAGAAGGATTCAGTCCGACTGCCTGAATGCGGCGGTAGCGTTCTTGGACGATGCCAAAGCGTTGGACACCGTGTCATGCGACACAGTTATACGAGCCGCAGCTGCACATGGAGCCCCACCAGAGCTTCAGCTTTATTTGCGTGCGTTATACACCTCTTCAATGTTGCTGCTTGGCAATGAAGTTTTGGAATATCGCAGAGGTGTGGGGCAAAGGGATCCTCTGTCTCCTCTCTTTTTTATCATGATTATGGATGAGGAGGTTGCTGCTACCCTGCCAAATCGGGGGGTGCGGCTGTGTGGCGATGAGATTGGTGCTTTGGCATACGCGGATGACCTTGTGTTGTTCGTTCCTTCCCAAGAGGCGTTGTCTGTGAAGCTGGTGGCTTTGCAGCAGTCACTTTCGGCGGCAGGTATGTCGTTGAACGCCTCGAAGTGTCGGGCTCATTAAGGTCCGAAAGCTCGGCAAACAGAAGTGCGTTGTCCTGGTGCCCCAAGCTTATCCCTCTGCAGGGGGTGAGGTCAGCCCGGTTGTGGTGACGGATGAGATTCGTTACATTGGTCTACGTTTTCAACTGGAAGGGGAGATGCCAGGTAAAAAGCACGGCTGTTCTTGCTGGGTGGCTCAACGAGATCTCTCGTGCCCCATTGAAACCGCAACAGCGTCTGGATATGGTGCGGGACTTCATCTTTCCCAAAATGCTTCATGAGTTCGTTCTGGGGAACGCTCATCGGAATACCATGCGGCAAATGGATAAGATAGTGCGAGCCAAAGTGCGGGAGTGGATGCGTTACTCCAAAGATGTGTCGCTCCCTTTCTTTTACACGATTCGTGGCCTGGGCGGTTTCGGCTTGCTGTTATGGAGCATCTTTGTTCCTTTTGCTCAGAGAGCCAAGTTCGGTCGTTTGTGTTCTTAGCCGTCCTCGTTCGTGCGGGGACTACTAGAGTCGGAGGCGTGCAAGGTTGGTAGCCGTAGTACTAATGTTCCAGTCCGCCTAATGAAGACTGTGGTGGAGGATAAAAGGGCCGAGGAGGGATACATTGAAGCGGAAGGCCCAGACCTAAGGGAGGTCGAAGCTGATGAGCAACGGTATGAAAGCAATTGGCCTTTCGCGAAAACCTCTCTCGGAGATTCGGGATGACAAACGAAGCTGGATCTTGTTTGGATGGATTATTACTGGTGTTCTCTCCTTGCCCATGAATCTTCTTACAAACACATGGAACTTGAACTTTCACATCAGTGCAAAAACTACATGACCCATTTGTGCTTATCTTGTACCCCGCTTTTGTTTACTCGCCCCAGTATTTTTCATATTAACTGGGCAAGATGTGTTAAACCGCACTCCGAAAATATATGATAAAGGCAGTCCAAATGCCTCGTCATCCAATTAGTGACGCGCATGAAATGATTATCGTGATTCCCACTGTCCCTATCTACTATCTAGCGAAACCACAGCTAAGGGAACGGGCTTGGCAGAATTAGCGGAGAACGAAGACCCTGTTGAGCTTGTGAGGAGACATGACGGGTGTAGAATAAGTGGGAGCGAGGTTTTTCGGGGCTGAGCGTCAATGAACTACCACCACCGTCATTGCTTCTTTGCTTATTCAATAAAACGGAGAATGAATTTCGGTGCTAAGCACATGCTGACGCCCATGACTTTACGTTGCGGTGGTTGGTGTCTTGGTCATGTCAGATGAGCTATGGCTATCGCCTTGGTGTTTCAGTCTGATGGTGATGTGCGACCTGTTCTGAAGACAATATCAGGCGGGTAGTTTGACTGGGGCGGTACATCTGTCAAATGGTAACGCAGGTGTCACAAGGTGAGCTCATCCGGCTGGACGGACACCTGGCTTTTTTTTTTTTTTTAAAAGCTTACTTGATTTTGATTTTAAGTACGAATACAGACCGTGAAAGCGTGGTCTATCGATCCTTTTGTATTTGATATTCGGAGTTTGAAGCAAGATGTGTCAGAAAAGTTACCACAGGGATAACTGTCTAGTGGCGGCCAAGCGTTTATTGCGACGCCGCTTTTTTGATCCTTCGATGTCGGCTCTCCCTAGCGTTGTGACGCAGAATTCACCAAGCGTGGGATTGTTCACCCACTAAGAGGAAATGTGAGCTGGGTTTAGACCGTCACTTTCCGACCAAAGTGGCTGTGGTATTATGGTTTCCTTGCGGAATCTCACGATGTAGGCGTTGAAGTGCTGCCCGATGAAAGGTAGTTGATCTAGACTACGTTCCGACGTTGAATTCACCAAGTGTTGGATTGTTCACCCACTAATAGGGAACGTGAGCTGGGTTTAGACCGCCGTGAGACAGGTTGGTTTTACCCTACTAATGATTACAATGAAACAGTGAAGTACAAACTGGCCGTTGCCATAGTAATCCTGTTTAGTACAAGAAGAGCCGCAGGTTCAGACATTTTGGACGTCTGAAGGACAGGAACTTCGGTCTATTGGGAAGTGAGGGGTGAGTGAACACGTCAGCCCTCGGTAGCTCAGGTGGTAGAGCAGCGGACCGGAAATTCGTGGACCGGGGTTCGACCCCCCGTCGAGGCATATTATTGTGCGTGAATTTTAATCGTGACTTCTACTTTCTACGAACTTTACACTTCTCACAAACATCCACCATTAATTTGGTATATGTGCCTGGTCGAAAGGCCAATGGTGCGAAGCTACCATCTGAGGGATTAGGACTGAACGCCTCTAAGTCTGAATCCCGTCCAGATTTGCAACGGTACACTCTGTGCCTATCACGTGGCAAGGCAAGCTTACGTATTCCTGCTAGCACTTGGACTGGGCTATGTGCTCCGCCATGGCTGGTAAGTCTGGTGTAATGCCACAGCGATATGACCAAAACTGCACTCCGGAAATCGGGGTATGGAGGTCGACACGATATCCAAATGAGGAATGAGCGTGAAGGCAATAAATCGTTTGTAGACGACTTAATGTTTTGTCGGGGAGACGTAAGTGTTCGAGCAGCTATCACACTGCGAGACATTGAGTCCTATCCCTGCATGACGTAATGATTTGAGAGCTAGACTCTCATTCATTTCCTTTCTGTCGAACCGCGTTGGGCAGTATGCGTGCCAACCCACATGCGCGTGCTATGAGTGAATCAGGCAGGTCTCGACCGCTTGGTTTGCTTGTGGCGCGTGTTTGTGCCGGGTCTGTTTCTGCATGCGTGCAACTGCTGGTAAGCCTTCCTGCCTCGGTGGGTTGAGGTATTCCAGTGTGTAGTGCGCATGGGGAGCATTGACCTGCGGTTGAAGCGCACGATCGTCGAGTGTATTAGAATGATTTGGGTTCCTAAGCCCCATTCATTCGTTTATGTGCAGCGGGTAGTGTTGGAGATGGCGTGCTGCAGGTCTTCACCCGCTAGTTCTCTTGTGGCGTATGCTCATGCGGGCTTGTATCCGCATGTCCTTGTTTTGGTATGGTATGCGGGTGTGGACGAAGACCACCGAACCACGGTTGAGGCGCATTATGGTGATGATTTGGGTGCCTGACTCCCATTCATTTATCCGGCTCCCTTGTGCATGGGCCTGGTCGGAGGATACGCATTCTGTTGCCTAAACAGGACTCCGTCCCTTGGGGCTGCAAAAGGCATAAGCCGGTAATTCCACAGGGTGTTGGCAAAGCAAATTTTTAATTTGGGGCTTAAGCCGAAACCAGATTTTGCTTTGCGAAAGCGCCCGGCCCCGCGGCGCGCCTGGGACTAAAGAAACTTTTCATGGTGTGTGAACACACACACCCCCCCCTTATAGTAGCAAGTCCCCCCAAGCCTGGATATACCACCATGCTCAGGTACCTCGGTACCTGGACACGGCCGTATACCACAGGCCCGGTGTCCGATGTATAGCGTGCATGATATGCACACTCACGCCAAGATTGGCGGGAGTTTTTTACCTATACATAAGATATAGGGGACAGGAAGGAGTGGTACCCACCCCTTATAATACACAAGTCAATTGTTTCGCCTTAAGCCCCAAATTAAAATTTCGCGCAGCCACCACCTCTTTGGGAGTGTGGCAAGGCTTACCGCAGTGTACCCTGGTCCGATGACTGTGGGTACCATGCATAGAGAGATATACACCCACGGTATGCCTACCATAGGTGTAGGTAACTGATGCCACGGCTGTACACATATAGGCGCCACACAGGTATGAGTAGCATAGGCGCCCTAAATGCCCGCGCGCTCATCAACCCCACTAGGCCCCACCGCTATCCGTTCCACAGTCACATCCCGCGTACCTTCGGCAATGGTCGAGCCAGGATAGGACTTTCGTAAATTCGCACTATTTGGCGGGAGTCAGCCACCAACCTATGCCAGAGGTTCCCCAACCCTCTAATATGCATAGTTGGCCATCCCTATATAGCCTAAACTCCATAACTCAACAAGCCCGTAGGTGTTATCCAGTTCGGAGGACCAAGGGTACTCTATATAATACACACGTTTTTTGGTTCGCTTAAGGGCCCGGGTACAAATTGCACCAGCGAAATTAACACTGTGTGCCACCGCAGTCACATTGATTAGTAGCTGTGTCACTTGAACAAACGCACAAAACATAGCACTCACGTGTATATACCATATGAGCACAAGCGACAGCTATACAAATCTAGCGAAACCAGTGACGGGGGCACTGGAAAGAAAGTACGCGCCCAAGCATACCATAAGGTCTCAAATGCTTCAACGAGGGTTTTCCCACACTTGGTGCGCCGGGGTACACAACCGGACAATAATGGTGAGTCTCATTGCCCGTCGATATTCTGTCAGGCAACTATGCGACTTACCTACTATACCTGTGGTCTAATCGGGCATGCATAGCAACTTTATAATGCACCGGATCCACCGGGGCGTGCCTGCTCTATCGTTGTGACGTGTTGCTCGGTGCACTGAGTAAGGTTTCATAGTGCGGCCGTTGCGCATGTTGTAACCGTTTCCTGCTCCATTGGCGGGTGGATTTCATCATTCTGTTCGTGGCAGTGTTCGTGGGAAACGGTAAGTTGATATTCTCATGGTATAACAAATGCTATTTATTTACAGGATGATGGATTGCAAGGCGCATTTTTCGTTCAAGTTGAAGGGCGCGTTTTACGAACGAAGGGAAGCACATTTGTGTCATTGTCACGCTTTCCATGTTGGCAATCCATGGCTGTATCCGCAAAACAGGCGGTTGACGGAGGCGCAGGAAAAGGAAGCGTATTCATTGATGTCCGTTTTCAAAAGTGGGAGGGGAATACATACCGATGGCACATGGGCGGACGCTAAACGCTGGTGATGTGAAGATGCTTCGAAGGCGACACCGGAAGCGGAAAACAGGGGAGGTGGGGGAAAAATTGTTGGAGCGGCACGGCGTTTGTCGTGTGGTGAAAGAGGGCAAGGTGGTGAGATTTTTGTTCTTCGTGCCATCGGTTATGGAGACTATTGCGGCACAATACTGCGAAGT